GAGTTCATAGAAACACAAAAAGATAGAAAATGGTAGAGCATCCAAGACTCCTAGGGCCTCATCTGCCCATACTAGTAAAAGGGTGGTAGAAAAGGAGGAAGAAGATGTCGATTTAGAAGAAACAGAGGAAGACAAGCGTTATATTGAAGAAGGAGATGACTCTGATTATGATGGCCTCGAATTTGATGCATATGATGATGCTTACCCTAATCCTTCTGATGATAATGATGATGATGCTGACTGCAGACTCTTGGTGTTGACTGTTGACTGTTGAGTATTGATTGTTGACTGTTGAGTATTGACTGTTGATTGTTGAATGTTGACTATTGTGTCCTAGACTGTAAGTCTATATATTTTTTGAATTTCTATATATTTTCTTTTTCTTATTTTTAGTTTCTAGTTTCTAGTTTCTAGTTTCTAGTTTCTAGTTCTACTATCTAACTTTTGTGTGTACAGTCTACAGTGTATCAGACTATCAGCGTGTGCTTGTATGGTTTTACTGTTTTAGGCTTTTAATATTATATAAAAATATGGATTCTGGTCTTATGGATTATCAAAATTCTCTTCTCGACTTCTATCCTTTTTTTTTTCAACTGGGATTATGGTCTTATCTATTATTAAAATTCTTATGGATTATGGTCTTATAGATTATCAAAATTCTTATGGATTATTAGAATTAGACTATCTTTTTTTCTTTTTTTTTTCAATTGGGCCCCCTAGGTTCTAGACACCTATCTAGGCGCTAGGCGGCCCGGACCCCCATGGCCGCCTGAGTGCCGCCTAGCGCTTTTTGAAACTATGTCTATAAGGATAGAAGACTAAAGAAACTGGCAGTGCACATCAGATCCAGGATACACACCTGGCTAGGTATCAGCAAAGCCAATAAATTGGTTTGTTATTTCGTGGGACAAGGCTGGCCAAAAGCAGCCATTAGCATGACAGGAAGGTGCACTACAGGAGTAACTAGTGAAAAGGGATCTTAGTGAAAGTAAAACAAAGGATTGCCACCCATAGCACACACTTGATCTGGAGTACAAAGTGTAAAGGAACTTATGCCAACAGTCACCCATTTTCTGACTTCCTAACGGCGTAATTGAATTGTGCTCACTTTGTAACTGCTCAATCGACACATTACCATAAATTTAATGGGCAGATTGCAATTCAAGTGCAGACGTAACCATATGCACTCTCAGCTAGGATAAGAAGAATTCCAATAAGGCAGAGCTTTGTATCTTAAATCTCGACAGGAAGACGATAAGGAAGAACATATTAATGCAAGAATTAGAGAATGCACAATGAAGACCAATCCCTCCCTCTTAATAAGAAATGGAAAAGACAACTTGAAATCAGGCAGAGGATCTCGATGGGAAAATATAAGGAATAGAGTTTACCATAAGAATTAGAGATAATGCAAAAATAATTTCACTAAACTGTGACGGGAGCTAACACAGTTTACATACAACTTAATTTGGAGAATCAACTAAAGTACTCGGGTACAAAATGACAGATTCTGAATGTTATCCATAAAAGAGAGATTCAAATGCCCCTTCCTCAATGCAACTTGGATGAATAACATTAAGAAGGAAAGTTTGCCCACTAAGAACCAATAATAAACAGCAGCTTCAGCAAAATAATTATATGATTTGGTCACATGATTAAACATAAGCAAGAGTCATAACCCTCATCAACATCTTCTTTTTTTTTTTGATGAAAGTTAACTTTTGTATTGCTGTATGGTGTTAGAACCCTCATCAACATCTTATTTCCAGTGAAATGATAATCAAATTCACACAATGCTCCATCCCTTCACGAAAAACTGGACTAGAAGCCATGTGAATAACACGAGCAATATCACCAACTCACCATGGAAAGGAGTTCAAGAAGATAGAAGTACATACAATATCCTTCAGTAGTGATCAAGCAAAGTAATCCCATTGCAGGTCATCCATTCGGATTAGAAACAACTTAAGCATCTCTATATGTTTCATATGGACACAAATACCCACTATTGGTACTCAAAGTCAAATCATCGGCTGCATGTCATAGACATTGATCTGTGTTCTCATTTAGTATTAGTTTTCGGAAGAAGTATCTAGCTTCTTACATTTCAAAGAAACCAATGATGAAATAAATATATAAAACCATTAATAAACCATTGGATATCAAAATTATAATAGGTTGTAACCTCTAGTGAATTTCCCATCTAAGAAGAAAATCTTGCATTTAACTCAATTAGAGTATCCATTGCTTTGTTGTTTACAATAAGAGATGCAGAATGATAATCTTGTGCACATTTGTTCCAAGATAGAATTAAAATACACCACTAAAGGCCAAGTAATGTCAACACCCAGATCCTTAGGATGGCATGGGCATTTACAATGAACCAAAGGTCTGGATCTAATCATCACTAGATGCAAAAACAAAACACAATGATACAGACGACGAGTCACTCCTATATGAATGATCAACAAATAGTGTATACTCTGAGAACACCTGATTGGAGAACCCACATTTTTATCTCTCAAGCTATGGTTGATTATTGTTTTAAAGACCACACAGACTCACGAACGTGACAAACCAAAAAAAAAGGACATTTTGAAGAAGGGAAAAAAAAGGACTTCCGGTTCTGCAAACCAAAATGTATCCGAAAGTAAGAATCTACAGAGGGTTGCATGTAGGCCATATGCAAGTTGCCCAAAAGAAAAGTATTTTTTCCTATATAAAGCCACTTACAAACTGTAGACATGGCTCCAATAGTACATGCACTTATCTTCTTAGTCATCAGCCACTAATAATCAATAGCTAGAAATGTGAAGCCCACCAATCTACCAACATATTTGCTTTGGTAATGATTTATAGACACTTTCATTTCATTGCCTCTTTTCCAACAGAGAGGATGATCGCAAGTAAGATACATTAAGAGCACCAAGTTCTTCCTTCTCTACTTTACAAACTCGGTGGGACACTAAAAAAAAGGCTCGAAGGATGCTTCATGGTATGCCTAAAAGTTTCTGAAAGATGTCTCACAATTGCAACAAAGGAAGAAAAAGTTAAAGGAACCAAGAGAGAAGGAGGTTGCACATGTCATGTAGCCTAAAAAGGTCATGTTTGGAACCAGTGAGAGGAAGGTTGTACATATTACTGTAACAAGGATTGGACCTGGGCGGCTGGTCTGAACAGTTGATTTGGGGACCAGGCCTAGAACCAGTCCAATGCTATCTTACAACTGAAATGGTGAAAGCTAGTAAAGGCAGTGATGAGCCAGTCAGATTTGTCAAGAATTAATTTTTAAAGATTTTGGAATCTCTTTTCTTTATGTTTTAAAGCCAGTCCAACCAATTTAGACCAGACGAGACCCCTCCCCAGTTCAATCTCCAATAGGTACTGATAGCACTAGAGAAAATTTCCATTCTTGCAATACAGTAATGCATTTTAGCACTTGTTAAGTTTTGATCGTATTAATGCAATAGAGGATGTCATGTTGGATGGAAAGGAACTTCAAGAAATTAGTGTATTCTTATTACAAACTAAATGTTCAACACATCAATCAAAATAAACATTTTCTAAATAAATAAATATATTAATGTTCAACATATAAACTTAGAACGATATTTCCAAAAACACAGATACAATTCTCTTGGTTGATGAGTATTCAGAAGTAGAACCGTAGCAATCATCTATTTACCACATAGATGATTTCCCATGAATAAACTATTAGAATGCTTTAAATTAAGTTTAGACCAGTCTAGATGATTTGCCAAAAACATAGAGTCACTGAGTCACACACACACAAACATGTGGTAATGTATGATTAAGGTTTGTCACAGCAAAATGGAATTTCAAAATCAGCAATTATGTTCACATTTCATTATCAGCTCTATTGTTGTGTGCCATTCCCCAAAACCACTCAAGTAACAATATCCAGAAACTAAAAGATATCTAACCAACACTTATCTAGACAGAAAACAAAGATACCAATACAGACTGTAAAACGTCAATTTCGCCATGGAAAAAAAAAATTCCATCCTTGCACTCATGGTATTTATTATCTCACGCAGTCCCTCAAGGCCAAAACAGCTTCTCAGTAACCAATCAATACAAAAAATGTTTTGAATCTCAAATTAGCTTCAAGAGGAGCCACTACCATAACAGGATCTTGGAAAACCAGAATTCAAGGGCATGAGGAAAAGTTAGTGTAAGAAAGTTATAATGATCAAATTTCACAGAAAACAAGGCACATTACTGTGCAAGATATCCATTGACCACTGAACCGTTTAAACTAGACCACAGCGTTCCAGAGGTCATCAGCAGAATAGAGAAAAATGTTATAGGGGTCCTCCATTAAATCTAGCTCTTACTTCAGGGCTGTCTTTATTGTCTAACATGTCCTACTTCACATGAATATGGTACAATTCTTGAAATATGAAAACTTAGAGCAACCTAAAATCTTTTAAAAGAAATCCTCCCAAGATCCATGAGCATGTATCAAAAAAACATGAACATGAATCCAGAACATTTGGAGGAGTCTACCACTTAGTTGTAATTTAGGAAGCTAGCACACCCAACAAGTAACACGAAACTATAAGATATAAAGTTTCTGGATTCTTTTCTATAATATAGATTCCATGCACAGTCAAACCCTTTAACATTCCAATTTTAGATAAGGGTATGATGTATCACAAGAGGGAGTTTTTTATTATGAAAGCAGGAACAATTTCACCACAAGGTGCACATATGACCTATACAGAGGACCTCAAGCAGCAATGTAAAAAATAAATGTGTGTGTATGTGTGTGTGTGAGTGCGAGTGAGAGTAAGAGTGAAGTGAGAGTGAGAGTGAGAGTGAGAGTGAAGTGAGAGTGAGCGTGAGAGTGAGAGTGAGAGTGAGTGAGAGAGAGAAGAGAGAGAGAGAGAAGAGAGAGAGAAGGAGAGAGAGTGAAAGATCAATACAATGCATACATTTTGTAAGATACGTTACGAGTTGGAAGTATCAGAACTCACAGGGTATGAGCTCCAACCCTGTGGTGAAGATATCATCCCTTGTGAAGGAGACAGAATTATAGGCATATAAGTTGGTGAGCCTTGTAAACGAGGACTGGAAACATATGGTCCCCTTGGCAAAGTCCATGCCGAAAGTCCACCCACATATGGTGGCGGACCTGATGGCAAAGACAGAGATGAACCTGCAGATCCATAGCCTGAGGATCCTGTAACTGCCAAAACAGGTGAAAGTGCAGCAGGTTGGGGATGATTGAACTTGCAGGCAACTCCAAACTTACATGAACCAGTTCTCAAGTAATATGCACAGGCTTTCTCACCCTGCAAGGAACATCATTTCTTCATATGAAGCTAAGAGTCAAGCATTTCTAATAAGAAAACACCATGACTACTTCTTAATTTCATGAAATATATGGGGAAAGAAAAGTTCTTGAGGAAAAATTGGCAAATAAAAATGGGAAGGGAACCTGGCGCACGGGAAGACCAGAGACGTTCAGTGGAACAGGTCCTGATTCATGCCTGTCACTTGGATGATGATATTTACATGTTGGCCCAAATTTGCAAGTTCCAGTCTTTAAGAAATACTGCTCAGTTAACAACAAATAGATTTCAGTACAGGCCCATTTGTTTCTTTTATTTTGAAAAACCCCAACCTGGAAGAATGTCACAAGACAATAGATAGACCTAATTCAAAAATGCTCTTCTAACTCTGAAGCACACTTTTGCAGTCTAGTAAGCATACTGCTGAATGTGTTCCAATATTGAAGTTCAGAAAGCATGTTCAAAAGTCTGAATGGATCAACCTAAGCATTGAAGTGGTAACATAAGTCGGGCCAGGCAAACAAGAGAGGTAATCTGTCTCAAAGTGAATGAAAAGGAAAGTTTTCCTTGGCAAAATTTGCTCTGCACAACAATCATTTTGCAACTCTTATGAAATAGCTGTTTAATGGGGAAGCCAAAATCCACGAAACAGCCACGCTTGGAGTTTCTTCTTCACAAAATATGAAACCCAAATTGCAAACATTTAAATGTCTCATCATAAGCATGGGTACAGGACAATGGGTACCAAATAATGCATTCTACAGTCTGGAAATGTAAGACAACTTTAGTGTTTCAATAGAGAAGCTTGATTGCAATTCCAAACCCCATAGATTCTGTAAAAAACCCAACAATGCGTTTGAGGAAATGGATATGCTCGAGGATAGAAGTCTTTTAGCAAATCATAATATTGGGAGCTAAAAGTTATGAAGTCAATGACAATACTGCAAATTATTTCAAGAATACAAAGTATACAACATAAGGGGCTTGATGAAACTCTCAAACTGTGCATCAAGAATACCACTAGTGAGGTAACTATCTAAGACAAAAATAATACAAAACACTTGCTTCCAATGCCACTGCATGTTCTAGTCTGATAAATCATATTGCAGGCCAGGCCACTGACATCCGTACATTTCAAATATCATGCATATCTTTTTTGCCTTTTTTTTTTTTCTTTTTTGGCTTGGTAATGTCAAGAATATGGCATGCAAAAATGAATTAAAAACAAATGACTAGCACAACTTTTAGAATGCCCAAATAGAAAATTTATAGCAATCCCATGATCTAAATAGAAAGCCATCCATTGAAAAGAAAACAAAGCTGCAAAACCAGTGAAGAGACAACTAGAAGTAAACTCCAAGATTCACAACTGAAACCCAAATACCTGGCAATCCGGCTGGCCATCTCTCTCAGGGAGCTCTCCTCTGTACAGCACAACCTAGAGAGAGAGAGACTAAGATTCGTTATACAATTGAACTTAGATAAGAAAGTTATATTTTCTAATAACTAACATTGTTCAGGGAGAGTGTTTCAGTGGATTTCTTACCTGCCTTGGGTCAGGAGGATGATTGAAACGGCAATTGCTCCCATAGCCGCACATCCCTGTCCTTAAATAGTATACACAATCAGGTTGTCCTGGTCTCTCAGGATAAGGAGTGTTCGCTCTTTCCTGACTATCATGGCCCTGAATTCTAAGGTTCCATAGTGCTTCTGCAGTCTCAAAGTATGGCACCCAATTACATAGAAGCATAGGTAATATATTTCAATCTAAATCATAGTCTAACAAATCTTCCATGAATAACTCTTTACCGCATATGTGAGACTGAAATTAAATCTAATTAAACAAAAATGCAATGAACAAGACCATGCCAAGAGAAGTATGCAAACCACGCCCTACAAGAAGTATCAAGTATGTAAGAAAACAGAGATAATCCATTTTCAATCTAAGTCACAGCCTAGCAAATTCTTCCATGAATCAATAACTGCTTACCTCAAATATAAGACTGAACCAAATCAATTTTTGGCAAACCCAATAAACAAAAAGCAAAGAATGGGACATGCTATTTCAATATAAGCATGCAAACCGTGCTCTAAGAGCTTCATCTACAAATTTAAGAGTGGAAAATCAGAAGGGTTGATGTTTCGTTAGAGAAAATCTTTTAAGAAAATGAGTAAACAATGTGAATCAAGCAAATTCTCAAAATTTAACCATGCAATGCCAAATAATGGAAAAAATTATCATGGGGCAAAAGGATACCAATTCGGTTCTCAAACAAAAATTGCAGGAGCAATCCAATTTAAGGCAAAAGCAGATCCAGAGAGAAGAATTAAAAAAAGAAGAAGAAAGGATTCACCTTGGAGATGGTTGATGGGTGAAGAGAGAGAAACGGCATTTTGGTGGTGGGGCTGCCAATTCTGTGGCATCGGAGACGAGAGAGAAGAAGCCGCATCCCCAGCAACACTACTCTTCTTTCCTTCTTCTTCACCAACACCACCACATTCCATTAAAACCCAACCAAATTACCCCAAACAATGAGACATACAATGCCCTAAGGATCAATCAACCTTTATTTTAAATCAATTCAATTCTCTCCCTCTCTCTCTCTTTCAAATCCCCTTCTCTCTCTCTGTAACATGGAATATTCTCAGCTTCAAAAGTGAAACGCGGAAAATTCCAATTCCTCTCTCTCTTATTGAAGAATTACAGAACCGAATTACAAGCAATCCGTTGAATTGAAAACGGTGAATGCGTAATCCACGTTTATAAGTCTTTAGAGAGAGAGAAGGGGCGATATACAGAGAAAAGGGGCAGATGAGATCGATGTTCAGACCCTTTTCGCCGCAGCTGCTGAAATAAACGGGTGACAAAGCGCCCCTTTTTCTTTATTCTAATTACGCCTGGGTTTGGACTTTGGAGAGTTTTTGAAAAGTTGGGAGTGGATGATATTTCTAGAGAGAGAAAGAGAGGATGATTTTTTTAGAGAGGAGGAAGAGGGAAATTAGATTGAAAATTAGAACAGGAAGAGAGAGATAAAGGGGAAAGGTGAGAGAAAGAGGGGTAGAATTTATTAGATAAAATGAGAAAATGGAGACATGAGGGAAAGGTGAGAGAGAAGATGTGCTGATAAAGGAAAAGAGATGAGAAAGGGAGAGAGAGGGGACACTAAAGACAAGAGTGGAGAGAGAATTAATGATGTGGCGAGGGGAGAGAAAAAGAGAGAGAGAAAAGGGCAAATTTTATATAGAGCCGAGGCTCTAAACAATTAAATAAGAGCCCACCTCAAAATTTTCCTCAGAAAATGTTAGTTTTGATTCTCAAATATCTTCAAATTGATTATCTCGACGTCAAGATGTATGAACATGAGAAAAAATTGAGTTTCAAGTTTTCGAAGTAGGCATCTTGTAATGATTTTTTGGACCGTTAATTTTCAAGATTTCAACTTTTATGGAATTGTTCATCTGCACTGTTTTTTAAGCTTTAAATTTTATAATTAACATTAAAAACGTGCTTTAAGGCTATCACAAATATTTTCAGTATTGAAACTATATTTCTCAACACTATTTAAAAGTGCATTTTATTTTGATTGTTTAGAGCTTAGGTTGTATACAAACTGCACTCTTTTTATTTTCTCGCACTAGGAACTAGGAAGGCCCTCATTAAGCATGCGTGCGCGCGAAACCGACGCATAGCGGTTCCATCCAAACCACAACAGTGGGCCCGCACCCCCTCTCATATGGACCACGCGCTCCATTACTTACCATTCTTCTTTTAAGACGGTGCGTTTACAAGGTCCCAAGCATTGATCGCAAAACCGACCTGTTTGAATCAGAACAGGTAGAGTTTCGAGTCTAATTAGATCCGGTTTAGTAGTACTAGTAGTCTAACCTATCTCTCAAACAAAATTCGAGTCCAAAACTGATAAGTAAGGGGTCGTACCGGTCATGTTCTTGTCAAACCGGCCGGTTTTCAGCTAATCGAACGTTTCACCGATATAACGGTGTTTTTTAGTAAATAATGGTGTTATTTTGAAATAGGAGTCATTATATGTAGTAGGAAAACTGGGAATCCAATTTTTCACATTTTTTGTAGTAGGAAAGAAAAAGACTTTCTTGTATTGAAATGACAGATTTTTTAGGTTTTTGAAAATTTTCACCATTCTTTCAATAATCTCCTCAATACCTAATGGTTCTTGAAGAAATTTGAGGGGTTTGATTGCTATTTGAAGTATATACTAGATTCAAGTATTAATTTGTTCAAAAAAACCAAAAATCAAGGGTTGATTTTTGCCCAAAAAGCCGCTACTCAGAGAACCTGTGTTTGATCCAAAAACACATATGTTTTATCCATTTATTGATTGTTTTTACCAAATTGAGTTGAGGATTTCGATCATTGAGGCTTCATATCTCAAATAAAATTAGTATGTTATTTATGATTGAGTAATTTTTTTTTAGTGAATTTGTTTTTCCACGAGGTCATGAAAATTTCATAGATTTGAAATGTCTGCCATTTTTATTAATCAAATCCAAAATACCGAATCATTTTTTATGAGATTTGGTGCATTTGAAAGACGACCGAAGCCTTTACAATGCATGTGTGTTGATTTGTTCGATTATCAAAATATTGACGGTCGTTTCTTGCTTGAAATGTTGCTCGAGTTTAGAGGTTTTTGATAAATTGGTTTTTCTAAAAAAAATTCATTTTGCTTAATAAAATTATTAGGTTTGATCAATATGTGAAGTTTTTTCTATATTGCTTAATAAATTATCTTTATAATAAAATTATGTTTTTAATAAAAATTATGTTTTTTGATGAATATGGGAAGTGTTTTTCTATTTTGCTTAAAAAATTATTTTTTTGATAAAATTACGGTTTTTTAATAAAATTGTGTTTTATGATGAATATGGGAATTGTTTTTCCATTTTGCTTAACAAAATTATTTTTTGATAAAATTATGGTTTTTTAATAAAACTATGTTTTATAATAAATATGGTAAGTGTTTTTCAATTTTGCTTAGTAAAATTATCTTTTGTAAAATTATTTGTTCTATTTTTCTTATTTTTTGATAAAATCAATGCGCAATACACTGATATGGAAATGGTAGATGCATATAAGAATATATAAGAACAATAGAACATATCAGTGTGTTGTACATTGATTTCTCATTTTCTTGCGTATCATGAGATGTACTTTTTGTGAAGTATGCCTTATTTAACTTCATAGAAAAAGTATCGTATGAATTATACATTATCTAACTATATGGAAGAGGTCCTTTCTGTTTCTTGTCTTAATTAGTTGGCATTGTTATTTGAGTGAATAGCATGAAGCTACTTTTGTTATTTACAAAAAAGTGCATAAACTTTCATTCCTAATGTGAGCGATTTTTGTACAAAAGAAACTAGAAAGGTTTTCATGTAAGGTTTGGGATGAATATGTTAATTCTTGGAAGAAGATGTTACATGACAAAAATATCTTCAAAGAATATCTTAATCTAGGAAACACCTGCTTGGGATTTTTTTTGTAAGATAAATGTATGTAATAAGATATTATACACTTAATCAAAGTTTTTCTATTTTTATTTTTATTTTTTGGGGTTTTTTACCCTTTTTTTTAAAAAAAAAGAAAAATCTACTTGACTTATTAGTCCGATTAACCGCTCCGGTTAGTCTGGTTCCGGTTCAAACTGCTCTCAGCCCCATGTCCGGTTAACCATTCTAGTTCGATTTTGCGAATACTGGTCCCAAGTTAGGAAATCAAGGTTACAAATAAGAGGAAGGACCGGCATCAATGTACAGCGGTTACATTAAGTGAATGAAAAGGCTAAATTTGTGAAACATATATGCCACTCTCTCATAGCCGTATGGTCTCTAAATGAATGGCTGGAGCAGTTTCAGTAACAATGTTATTAGTGAATTTCTCACTGTTTGATATAGATATGACATCTTAGAGTGTTTTATTTTAATTTTTATGTGAAATATAAATATGGAATTTGGTGTGTCATCATTTCATTAAGGCGTACTTATAAAAAATGTTTTAAAAAAATTATAAAAATAAACTGATCAAATACCCCTAGAACTTAGGTGTATTTTGGTTATTTTTTATTTTCAAAATATTTTTTAATATTTTTTGTGGGTGTGACTCTATGAGAGGATGGGATGCCTAAAATTTGGTGTCAATATAGTTTTGTCAAAAGTTTTTTTAAAAAATATTTTTTAGGCGTGACCTTGTGATTAGATCATCTCAACTGTGTATTCAGATGGGACGATTGAGAGAGGAATGCCATATATAAATTTCCTATACTTAGTGGCATATAGAAAACTTTCTCAAAAAAAACAAAGTGAGAATTGAAAGTTGATAGCAATATTAATTTTATATGGTGAAAATATAATCAGCTCAATGGTGCCAAACACAACTTCACATGTTCACATTTCATTTATCTATTTTTAGATCATCTAGTCAATTTCGTTCCAGAAAACAAAAGAAATTTTTCTCTGTCTTGTGAAATTAAGGGCACGTTTGTTTCCCGTGAAAATATTTTTATTTATACAAAATTGAGTTATACCCTGAATAACCACCCATGAAGGAAAGGGCCTGACAATTGGTGGTTGAGTTGATAAGCATTTCAGTAATGGGAAGTGGGAAATAATCTTTTGGACATGCTGCATTCAGGTCTCTAAAATCAATACAGTCTGTCCATTCTTCTTTTTAACTGGTACCACATTTGCTAACTGTTGGAAGATATTTTTCATCATTCTGGGGTCCTCACTCAATAAAAGCCTAGCAAACAGTGAAAATTCTGACAGTCTCAGAATAACCCCAGAACTAGTCAAGATTTTCATAAGAGCTCTCAAAAGCCTCTTGCCAAGTTTCGTCACAATCTAACATGTCTAAGGCAATGCAGACTAAGAACAGTTCCTACAGAATCAGGCTCTAGCACCCTGAAATGGATCCTATAACTAGAGCTATATTTTCAATGTCTCAATTCGTTGTGGGACCACTGCTATTGGATCTGATACGGTTAAAAACCCTCAGGGGTCAAATTTTAACTTAAACGGACATTCCAGGAAGAAGTTGTAGGTAAAAGAGCAAAACCTGGGGAGACGCACGCTATTCATGTGCCTGCAACTAGGCTCCATTATAGGGGCAATCACGAACAGTGACTTGTGACGCTCATATCTCCCTCGTCCGAGATCAGATTGTGTTCAAACTTGTTGGAGCGTGTTCATCTCATTGAGACAAGCGTTTCGATATGTGGCACGCCTCGCGACGACGCTCTAGCGTGTAGAAAAGTTAGACAGAAATTGTTGTTTCGTGAAGAAAATGCAGGAAAATTAGCAACGTTGCCCCTCACTCGAGCGGCCAAATTACACGACTCCTGAGCCTGATCAATGCAAACCCAATTCCATTGCATGCATAAGGTCTCCGGCTATCTCTGACCCGAACCCCGTACATGATGAACGGTCGGATTCTGCACACGAAGCCGACGAAGTGACTGCAAATTCCGTCACCGGAATTCCAGATTTCTGCCAAAATTCAAAGTTGCAAAATCTTCATCCGGGCACGGAATCGAGCTGCGTTTATTGCCCCGCGATCATGACGGCATGCTTAGTGTGATCCAATGAAGAAGTCACAGAAAAACATCAAGGAACGAGCACACAATCGATCCAAAGTTTTAAGATTCGTTCAAATTTCAAGTTACATGATCGTGCCCTAAAAACACGATCCATGGCTTGAAGTTGGTATCAAATCGATTGCCATGCCGAGCCCTACAAGAAAATAATCATCTCTCGATCAACCGGGCATCAGAACGACCCCAGATCATCCACGAAAAATCATGCACGTTCTAAGGCAACACAGGGACTGTTATGAAATTCCACAACTTGTTAGGAAGGGGCAAATATGTCATTTTGCATTTTATTTTCTTTTTTTTTTAATTCATTTTAATATTAATTTCCAACATTTACGGTTACTTTTGATCATCCACCCATGTTTTTTATATACCTTACCATCATTGTACATAAA